CAAACATGTTGACATCCAAGCAAACTTTCGCATATAATATTAGTAGGATATAGTAGAATTTTAGATGTTATGTTTGTTTTTAATGTCTATTTTCACCGGAAAATTATGTTCATAATCACAACAATAAAAGACGATCCACGCCAATATTCATTCGTAAGATATAAAGCCTCCACATTAATATGTATCCAACAAAGCGTTCGGCAGTCAAAGATGAAAGCCGAAAGGTTTCGGCCGAACATCAATCTGCTGTATCTCGGTTGAAATTAATGGTTCGGCCTTTATTGTTACATTAAGGGAGCTCACAGACGAGTGACAGTATATTGGCGCAACAACTGCTTGCTACTTAAGATGGCGACAATCGCCGATGGTCGCTGACAGTTGCCGATGCATTGCGACTCTCGGAGACGGGCAGTCACTAACGTTATACGTCAGGGGTGGCCCACTTGATTAGACATAAGACCTACTGTTTACTAACGAAACCCTGGGTGATCTACCACTTATATACTTCTTGAAATCTTAAATGAAACAGCATAGTTTAGTACACAATCATGTAGTATTTTTTGCCTAATAGTCGCGATCGATCGGTTGGCCACCCCTGTTAAACGTATAGTCATAGTTTCAAAATGACAGCGAAAGACGCCAGTCGGAGACTGTCGGCTACAGTCGTTTACAATCGCTGACTGTCGCCTACTACTATCGCAAGCAGTCACCGATATAATGTCGCTCGACAGCGAAAAGCGCCAGTCGGAGACTTTCGCCGACAGTCGTCTACAATCGCTGACTGTCGCCTACCACTATCGCAAGCAGTCACCGATATAAGATCGCTCGTCTGTGAGCTCTCTAAGATTGTATACCCACTGGACAGTGGGAGTCTTCGTCTTCCCGCAGACTACAGATTTTAAGTCGGCCGATACTTTGGTCGGCTTCTAATTTGTTTGAGGAATCGGTCGATACCTAATCGGTGTAATGAGCGAACTTTCATTTTTTTATGCATAACAAGGCATGTATTTGACCACAATCGCACCTGATGTTAAGTGGGATGCAGTCTAGGATGGTACGTATCTGCCCTGCAAGTGCCTATTCACTCTCGCCTTGAAAAGGCCCGGATTATAGATTAATAGCCCGACAAAGTCTGTTTTGTGCGAGGAGTCTGAGGTCTAGGACGTGACCTTGATACGGCTCAGATTAGAGGATTGTAGGTTTCTATACAAATAATGAAAAATTAGGGTCTCTACTCTTTTTTTACTTTCGCCTCATGACTAATTCGGACCGCGGTATTAATCGAGTAGGAAAAAAAATTCGTGTTCATAACTTGAGAGGAATAACTCGAAAAAGAGAATTGCGATACGATCGCGAAATCGAAACGAACGTCGAATGTCACATTGTCTAGGTAGGTGGACTAATAGGTAAAATTAGACCGTGCTCGAAGATAAATTCACGATAATCTAGTAGGTAGGTACATTATAAATCGCAAAGTAGGGGAGCGAGGGGCTTGTTGTAACAGGGGTAAGTAGTAACAGGCTCTTTTCACTAGGATCTTAAACGCAATTGACGTATGTCTTTGAATCGATTTAACCTATAAACCGCACCGTATCATGTTGCCATAGCTAGTGTCCCGCCGGCCGGCGCAGTGAGCGGAAATGTGCACGTGCTTAATTTTTGCCAGGTAATATAAAATTGTACTGTCGTAAAATTTCGGTTTGCGTTATTATTACTGACTAATTTCAAATGTTCTATATCTTATTTCCATTCAAATTTATCTATCTTTGATAATGTGTAACAGTTTTTATGATTGCTAAATTGTTTAAATAGATATCTTGATAAATGTTAAAAATCATACCATGGGGTTAGTTGTAACAAAATGCGGGGGCTTGTTGTAACATGTTAAAATTAATAATTACGAAGCATACCTTAGATATAAATAATTTAATCACTGTGATTTAAAAGTGCAAATATAATTATAAGTAGTGTTTAACTAAATAAGACTGCTAATTACTAACCCCCTTACTAATAAAAAGTTACACAGTTGTTGAATACTTATTTAAAATGACATTTCCATACTAAACGTCACTTTAAAACACTGATCAACGAGCGTGTAATTTTTATTAGTAAGGGGATTGATTTTTAGGTGTTGCTTACTAAAAAAGTGTATTTACGTTGATTTTTGATAAGAATTATATAACTTACTTTTAAAAGATGTGAATTTTATTAAAAAACAAGCAAAGAATAAATGATTAAAGGTATTATAGTCGTTTTTTTTGGCGTTACTACTTGCCCTGGTAGATGTTACAACTTGCCCCAAACACGAGGTAAGTTGTAACACCGCACTTCTTCTAGAAAATAATTGATTGTAAAATAATGACCAATATTTATGGTATTATTTTTACTTGATTTGGTACAGGAAGAGTTACAGCTTCCATCCATCTTTATTTAGTAGACATTTAATCAATAGATCTCAAGATATATTAGTTTTAATGAAAACTGTTACAACAAGCCCCTCGCTCCCCTACTTTGCATAGCATTTGTTATTCAAGTTTTAAAACTCATGCACGTTATTTGCACTAGTGCAGGTTTTTAGCTAATCAAAAGTACATAGAGCTAAAAATTTTACTGCTGAATTTAAGCTTTTGCAAACATTTCGTTAAAGCACCTAAAACGTATTTGGATTCAGGTAAAGTCAGTCCATTTCGTTGGATCGAGTTGTAGGAGATTCATGACACTTATAATTCGAATTACGGAATAATCTTCTTTAGATGTTTTGTTTGGGTCCAAATAAGCATTTTTTTCTTTATTAATGTTTATGTAGTAGTAGTATAGTAATATCCCTCGTCTCCTCGTACATATTTCTCGAATTAGGTTACTAATTTTAGTCAATTTTATTTTTGTCAAAAAAATAAAGGCTAAGCTGAATTACGAAAAAAAATCTTATTACTGGAACCATGTAGATAGTAGTTTAACGTGTACACCGGCAGAAGAATATAAAATATTCTATAAGACTCTCTGTTCTTTATCTCTCTCATATCAATATAACTGAGAGAGACGGAATATTTCTAACTCTGCACTGGCGTTCGATCAATTAACTGCACTTTACTGTTCCCAGTTGGTAATTCAGTGTTAAACCCTCTAAGACTCATGTCGCTTCTTTGTGTTCTTCATCTCTTTCTTGACCAATATAAGTGAGAGAGACGGAATATCGGTTTACACAGCGTCTCTAGCGTGGCCCTCGATCAATTAACTGCACCAACTGTCGGACCCAAACTGGGCCAAGTTGACTAATGACGTCCGTCCAGTTAAAGTTACTTCGTTGATAAATTAGTGTTGTAGAACTATCGGAAGTTTGATTAGGGACATCGATAGTATAACATGAATGTTAGTGGTAGTAGTGATAAATATATTAGTGGAATCATGCACCACTAGTTTTTTGTCTATCACAGGAAAACATCGCCCGCGTCCACTTTTCTTCCTTTTTCGGGACAAAACTATTTCTCTACACCAAACATCATAATCGGTTCAGTGGTTAAAAGACAGAGTTACTTTCACATTTATAATATTAGTAGGGATAGATTGAATAAAATGAAATGTAAAACAGTATAGAACATAAAGAGACAAAGTAATAGAAAGATTTTTCAGAGGAGCTTCAAATTCATAGTATTCTTTTCTTTATTAGTAGGCCCTTTTCATGGCATTTATACACGTCCTAATTAAATATAACTTGCCCTAAGAAACTCGGACTGATCTACTCGTAGAATATGTTTCTTAATTTCGCCCCTATTCACAAACATTACTATGAATTCTCACAGTGCGCGTGGACGCACAGGGTGACACACGAACCAATCACAGAGCTCTATTCAACGCTGTGCGTTCGATTTGCTGCTTCAATTAAGCAAGCGTCATTTGTGAATTCGGCGTTTGTCTTCACAGTTTTAATTTCTAAATCGTTTCGCTTCGGCTATTTTTCCGGGAAGAAGCTATTACAAAAAAGGCGAAGCGTTGTTTATACTTTGGTAAGAGGAGCCGCACTCTTTTCTCTCTATACTCTAGACCATAGAGATATAGAGAGATGCCAACTAATGCGCTGAGTTCGAAACTCGTGTCGCATTAGAAATTCACACACACAAAGAAATCAAAATATGTGCTCATTATCCACTGCGGTGTCAGTACTCAACGTTCGAATAATCTTTAGTACTACACAAGCAATGTAAACTGTTTAGGTACATTATGAAATCGCTGCTGTCAACATTGATTTCACGAGCAATGTGTTCTGTTTTTGGGCACATTGCTGCGACACCGGCCCCGCCCACTTGTCACATCTCCCTTTAGTTTCTGTGATCTGTGCTCTAGATTCTAGACTACGAAGGCGTTACAATTAACTAGCTGGTATCGATTACCTACCCTCAGTTTTGGACAGTGACGTAACTAGGTCGCGACGGACTAATCACCTGAGAGAAAAGGAGCCAAGATGATCGGCACTTTAGGTCTTTTCTCAATAAAGTAACAAAACTAGAGCAAACTCTAATAATTGGACTGAATTCTTCGAGAATCTAGGTATAGTTTCTAATTTTTAAAAAACCCGGAATCATATTACCTATTTTTTCAATCAAATAAAAGTTTTTTGGAATCGGCTCATGCATTGTCGGAGTTCTGAAAAAGCAAATATTCAATTGAATTCAGAATCTTCCTTTTTGGATTATTTTTAGGCTTCTAAAGCGTTCGGTTACATTTTATACTGGCCTCAGGGCTGGCCTTTCACCGGTTTCTAGTAAAGTTTCAGATAGTTTATCAGATAACGCTATGTCACAATAATTATAGGTTGCTAATTAAATGTGACTTAATCCTGATCCCTATCTCTATACTGCGAAATTAATTGTTGAAGTTTATCTGACAGATAAGTCGTGAAACAAGCAAACAATTTAAAACGACAACAATCAAAGACCGCTACACACCTCAAGATAAATTATTTACGTTCAAGGTTAATAAAATAACTCGTATTTTGTCAACAGAAACAAGCTTCCAGAACCGGTCGGAGTCGGACGACAGTGACAGCACGTCAAAAGCCACAGTGACAGCCGCGCCAAGACGTAAGTGACATTTTAGAGATACGACATGATATTTGGGCAACTTAACGTAGAAAGGGTGCAATTCATAAAATGTATAAATTGAGTCAAATACATTTGTTTTATGCCCGTTTTCACCACCAATCCCTAATTTTTAAGTGATTAGGGGTCACTTAAAAATTGTATTTAAGTGTTACCATTTTGATGGAATGGAATTTTGTTCTCATAGGGGTCACTTAAAAATTAGGGATTGATGGTCAAAACGGGCATTAGTAATTTATTAGTAGTTATCTATAGTATATCTTTGTTTTTATTTGATTTCTTATTATCTTTATTTACGACTGAATTCAAATTTTAACTTAGTTCTCTTGGAATATAAATGACGAGAAATTGTACTAGGCTTAAAATGTTATCTGAAATACCGAAGTTTTTATACTCAGGAATGTAAATGTAATGAAAAGAAGGCACAGTTTTCTACGAAAAGTCCTCGAATTGTTTTTACAAAAACAAAGTCTAAATAATGTAAAAATAGATACAAAGAATCTTCAAAGCAGTTCTTCGAAAAACGAAATAAATTGATCCTGATTGAAGCATGATAAACAAAAATACATACAGTCTAACATTTTTTGAAGTCTGTTAAAAACTTCCGACAAAATACGCGACGCTCCATCAGTAGTTTTTTAGTTGGTTCCTAGCATTTTTCGAATCGGAACAAAGAAGTTCGTCACCGCGCTTGCGAAGCGTTTTCGCAAACGCAAAACGAGAACCGATTCACTATTATCCCTGAATAGACAGTACAAGCGATCGCACTGATTTCGTTTACAAAATACTCTGTTTTGATATAACGATTAATACCTTTTGTCTCTGATAACGTACTGCTGAGGTTGACAAAATAATCTCATAATATTCGGAATTAATGAGAATGCTTATAAATCGTAATAATAACGATAAAAGAAATGAATAACATTAATAAGAAACGGGATTAAGCGTCTTTTATCTTGTCCGGTGCCGCTAATATATTTGTGAATATTTATTTATCTATATTTAGAAAAGCGAAAGGTCACTGACTGACTGACTGATTGACTGACTCACTCACTCATCACAAAATCTCGGAAACCACAAGTGCTATGTCGCAAATTTTGCACGGGGGTTCCTTTTAACGTAGGATTATACAGTCAATATTTATGTGTTATTTTAATTTGATAAATAAACAAATTAAATCAGTTGGGGCATTTTTCGTAAGCCAAGTACAATGCACGAATCTTTGATTTGTCCACTGCTGGACAAAGGCCTGCCCCAAGTATTTCCACAATGACCGGTCCTGCGCGGCCTGCATCCAGGCGCTTCTCACGACCTTAGTCCTTCACTAAATCGTAGGGTACATACAGGGTGTTGATTTCAATCCTCGCCATATTTATTTAATTAGGTGATCTATCATGACTTAAATAAACGCAATATCCACAAAAAAGTTTTGCAAACGAAAGTGGAATTTTCCGTGCGAAATCAACTGTACTCGCTCGCTTATCATGTCGGATAACCTACTGAAGGAATCCACGTAAAGTAGGTAGTGTAAATAGGAATTTTTCTTGGACTAACTAAAGTTAAACTTCAATTTTATTTTTTTTCGAAGTAAATTTTTTTACTGATTCATGATCAGAATAAGCTACTTAATCAACTCCCTAAATATGGCGAGTATTGTAATCAATACCCTGTATAGTTAATCTATTTAACTTTTGCAATCGAAATATATGGAAACACGTAAAGGATTTTTTGTAATTTATTAACGTTCTTGGGAATATAACCAAGTCAGTCGATTTAACCGATTCATTGAGAATCACAGTTGAACTAAAACTTAAATTACTCGGTTGAAGTTTTAGTAGAAATATGACTCTGTAGGATGTTCTACGATCTAGTTAAAATTTCAAATGGCGCGTCTTTAAAGTTTAACTTTACTTATCTAAATATATAAAAGGAGAAACTGACTGACTGACTGACAGATCAACGCACAGCCTAAACGGCTAAACGTAGGCACTAGAAATTTGGAAGGGACGTAGCTTAGGTACCGTAGAGGTGCACTAAGAAAGGAATTCCCGAAATTCCCACGGGAACGGGAATTAGCGGGAAAAACGGGATTCACGCGTACGAAGTCGCGGGCGGCCGCTGGTTAGACTATAAATATCAAAGTATATCAGAGTACACGTAAATATTATTTTAGTAAAATTTTAACTAATTTTCGGTACAGTTACAGTCTAGTCTCATTTAATTATTTCAAACCTAAAAATTAAACGAAGACAATATAGCAGTCAATTGACAATATTGACATACTTTTTAATACATATCTGTCTAAACTAGAATCTCCTATAGATAGATTTTTCATAAAACGATGATGTCACTTTTTCACCAAAGCCGTTGAGTTACTATTTTGGTGTTGATTTCAAGGGTACCTACTAATATCATCATTGAAAAACTAGGTAATTGTCAACCCGTACGAAGACGTATGTAACTAAGATAAAAAAATGTCGCGTTGAGAACTTGAGACCCGTGTTTCTCTATTTTTAACCGACTTAAAAAAAGGAGGAGGTTATATGTTCGGCTGTATGTATGTTTTTTTTATTAAGTAACTAGCTTTCCGCCCGCGGCTTCGCCCGCGTGGAATTTTGTCTGTCACAGAAAAACTTTATCGCGCGCGTCCCTGTTTCAAAAACCGGGATAAAAACTATCCTATGTTCTTTCCCGGGACTCAAACTATCTCTATGCCAAATTTCATTAAAATCGGTTGCGAGGTTTAAGCGGGAAAGCGTAACAGACAGACAGACAGACAGACAGACAGACAGACAGACAGAGTTACTTTCGCATTTATAATATTAGTTGGGATTGTGTTTCCAATCGGTTAATCTGAAAATCATTTATGAAAGCCTGTCGCCCATGTTCAACAATGCACGTCCTGTGGTTTTCAGTTATAATTGTTTCTTTTTGCCCTGAAATTTTTGGACTAAGGAGTCAACTAACCCTACCCAATTGTATACTTAACAAAGAAAACACACCAGTATCTGCAAAATAAGTATTTTAAAGATTCAGGCAGCTATTTATTACACCACAGCATTGGTTCGGCGGCTTGATTTAGGAGCGGCGCGTGCGTCGATGCACAATGCTTGCTACGTGACGATACGATTGCTGGATGTTGTTGGAACTATTCAAATGTTTGGGGTTTCGTCAAATCTAGACTTTTTGCATACTATCCCCCTTACTAATAAAACTTACACGCTCGTTGAACAGTGTTTTAAAGTGACGTATAGTATGGAAATGTCATTTTTAAACAGTGTTCAACAACTGTGTAACTTTTTATTTGTAAGGGGATATGTTGATAATGCAGATTAGGCTTAGTTTTTGTATGGAGTTTGTCAATTTTTTGTGAGTTTGTTAAAGTAAGATGGTGCAACCCAGCCCAATTATACAAAATTATAGTGGTTACGTAGATTTACTTGGTTTATTTTTCTTTTTAATTTTAGGTACGTATTATTTTTACTAAGGTTTATGTTATTATCTTTTGTGTTATAAGGTTTTTACATTATAAATAATTAAAAACAACCTAAATCTACCTATTAATTGTGACTTAATGTCAATTGTCAATCAATCTATGGTAGTATTCGGAAAATAGTTGTTTAAAATTAAATTAATTAATGAAAATAATAATAAATTATATTGTTACAGGACACTGTCGAACGCCGCACCACAGATAACAAGAAAATTCAAATTATATTATTATAACTAAATAATACAGAATATAAATTCTTTTGTAATATTTATTAACTATTAAGTTACAGTATGCATATCAGTAAATGGAAATATGTATCATTTTCTCTCAAACGAATATAAGCTCTATTATTGTGAATGTATTGTCTGTTTTAGATTGTATCCCTCTTAATTAAAAGACTGAAGTTTCAACATTTTAGGATGTAAGTTAATGCCAAAGAACTTTCAGGACTTATACAGGGTGGAAACGATAAGAGAGCTTTACTAAATGTATGGAAGCTGGAAAAATTGAATTTTAGGATACAGTTTGATAGAGCTCGTGAAGCACTTTCAGGATCAGTAACCAGTTTTTCGATATCTTGTTTAGTTCAAAAATAATCGAATCACTTCTCGTTTCCACCCTGTATACTGTATACGGTCGCCGGCACATCAAAGTTACACATTTGACCCTTAATGTCATGTTATTAGAATTCAAAATCGTGTAAAGAAATTATTAGTCATTCCGTGGTGGTCAGTACTGCATGGTCTGCGTTGGAATTGCAAAATCGACCTTATTGCCACAGCATAAGGTAATTTGTTCATGTTGATGTGCCGGTCGTCCGTATATGTGAACGATATATATATTGTATATGCATGTATACTGCCAAATATTACAAATATAGTCTTGATTGAATATTTCTGGAGTGATAAAGGATGATTCACACGATAGTACCTAAGATTTTTGGGTTTTTTGTATAACAGAATCTACCTATAATTATTTTTACACTTTTATAAGATTTCTGCTATCCGTATTGTAGTTTAAACCTTTTAACAGTCAAAACATTATAATTTTTTTATTGTTTTTGGACTTGACGAAAAGCTTAAGGTTCAAAATATGGTGGGATGTATAATGCCCACTGCCTTATAAAGCATTATGGTATGAATCAAAATTATTATTTTATAAGAGAAGCCAAAGAAACTAAAAACGTTTTATGAAAATATATTTTCTGTTTTAAAATTATTCATTTTCGTAATTATTATTTAAATACTTTGCATCGTGCCGTGTGAATGATCCTTTATTGGAGCATGCAGGATTCTGGCATGTAATAACAACAAATTAGATTTCTTTGTTATAGAATCTTCTAGAGTTATGTGAAAGGTAATAAATGTTTGAAGTATGCATCATCTGTTTTAGTCTCCTTTTCCTTGAAAATGATTCGGAAAAGATTTTTTAGAAAAGATTAGACAAGATTGTCGATCGATAAGTACGGTGTTAAAAAGCATTACCATTGTAATAATACATATAAAAGCTTGTAAATCCATTACTTAGTATTAAATTATTTGTACTTAGCTGACAGAACATAAAATTAAAAAAAATCGGTTGGCAGTTTTCACAAATGGAGTAAAATACAAATGTTATTAGATTAATACATTTTAAACAATGGATACAATCATATCAGCCGGTTCGTTTATCGGCAGTAAATAAATAATTTAAAAACCACAACATAAGGTAAATATGATGAATGATGATGATGATGATGATGATGAGATGAGTGATTAACGACAGTTGATCGTAAGTGAATAATCGTCTGTTCGAGTCCCAGTCGATTTTGTCATGTGGAATATTATGTAACATAATAAAATAGGATATTCTGTTTCAGCTTCAAGATCTCTTAGAGAGAGATGGTACAGCGTAAACAAATCGGGTCTGGATTGTAGCACACAGTGTAGAAAGAGGGAGTATCCTCATTAACTAGACTAGCCTAGACTTTTACCGTCATAGGCGTAGGACAGGTTACTTTGATATGCCAGAGGTCGCGGGTTGAAACCCCACTAAAAATATTTAAAAAACTTTCAAACACACTGTCAGATCTCACAATAAAATAAAGCTACTGAGTTGAATCTCCCTACTTTGAGGTTGTAGTCCGGCTCCGGGCGCATAGTGCCCTCTTTGATATTCCTTTAGTAATCGAGTCCTATGGTTCAAAATATTTTCACAAACCTACTGATATGTCTTACTCTGTGGTTGTAGTCCGGGCGCATATGTGCCCTATCTTGCTGTGCTAAACAAACGGCGAGGATTTATGTTGCGGCCTGGAACTTGGAGACTGCAATATTTGTACATGAATTTAGCTGGGACTAAACAAGCTCATGCCGTGGCTTTGTCTGAACTGATTTTGTAACATATATCCTAAATGTTAGGTGGCGTATCTACAGGGTTACTAAGTTTTTTGATACTATTTTATTTTTTACACCTTAAACTCACTCAAGTAATACTAAGAATGAAACCCAATCAGCGAAGGTTGAATAATCCCAGGAGATCTTTATCGGTCTTAGATCCCTCAGAGAATTCGATCAAAAGAAAAAAGGAGCAATTCCATAATTCTTTTACTACTTTAGTGGACCGTGGCACACATTTTTTTTTATGGAGAATATGATCCGTATTCACAAACGATGCTTGCTTAAGTGAATCAGCAAATCTAACGCACAGCGTTGAATCCAACTCTGTGATTGGTTCCTGTTTCACCCTGTGCGTCCACGCGCACTGTGAGACTTCATAGTAATGTTTGTGAATACGGGGGTATCTCTCATATCCGATGTAATACGTATGTATCGCAAATTCCTAGCTGCAAATAAATTTATTTTTGCGCATTTTAAACTGCAAAACAAAACGAAAGTTGCTGGCAAGTTTTCTACCTTAAAAATAAACAAGATTTCGAGTATATTTGTTTGCTTCCTAACTTTTAGGGTATTCGGAATTTACCTAAAGGATACAGGGTTTATTTGTTAGAGAAAAATGCTCGGCTGAAATACTGAAAAGTAGAAAAGTACATATGTAGGTTATGGTGTCCCTTATTTTTCAAAGTTTTAAATTTGTAACGCATAGGTCTTAGTTTTGTTTGTTTGCCTCTAAAACGCTCGGAAATAAATTTTTACCTTATTTGGAGTACTATAACCCGTGCCGACTTGCATCGAAACATGTTGCGCGACAGTAGCGGTGCGTATTCGCGGTATTTGTCATTTGTTCTCAATTAATCTCGTGATTAACACCTATTGTTTGACATTTAGAAGATGGCTGTGGAATTAAGAAGCAATAAAAAAAGTATTTTCTTAGTCGGGGACGTAAATTTATCAAATAATAGGCACAAAGTTACCGTTAATCGTCAAGTTTTTGCAGTATTTTTTAACATATTTTGCGAAGTTAATTAAATATTATTGAAAGCTATAATCTCATCATTTTGGGAAAAGCTATAAATCCAACCAGAACCTAACTGTGTAAAAAATCTTGTGTACCTTCACCATGCTTGGAGGGAGTTACAAGAAAAAATATTTAAAAAAAGCAAGATTTAGAAGCGCCGCGGTGAGGAGGATTTAAAAACAAATAAAATATTTTAACAGAAACAAATAAAACCAAGGCGTCCAGAGTGTTAAGGTGTAGACAAAAAGTTAGTTAAGAAAGTAGAAAGTGCAAGACAAAGAAAATTAAACAAACAAATAAATAAAAAATAGAGCAAATATGTTTCGGAGGTTTATCGTCATCTCTTACTACGCAAGATTCTATACAAAACGCAAGGACATCACGACCAGCTTATCAGCTCTGAGAAAAGCCTTAAGGCACTCTTGACATCCACTTTCCAAAAGGTATATGAGAGTGTTGACAAATTGATTTCCAAGGCAGCCCTGAGCAAGTTTAGTCAACATCTTTGGTACTTCATATCAGAAGAAATTGCCGTTTTATCACTCTTTGATGATGAAGGTAATGAACAAACACCGTCATGTAGCAAAAGTACAAAGAGAGAGTATGTATGATTCTGGGAAGAGATACATTCCATCTGAAGAAGGTATGATTATTTATATGGTAAATAGGATAATTTTTTATCCTGTTTTTAATGAATTGATAATAATACTGCCTTATTTATTGTTGCTGGAAAACCATTGAGTGGTTTTGTGTCTGTCAAGAGTATAAATTTATTTTCTCGATTGAAAATTGATAATAATTTCCCCCTGAGACACATTTCTATATGAGATAAAGACAAAAAAGTGCTTTCTTTATGGGTAGTTAATGATACAGCTGAAAGGGCTATAAAGCCTATGCAAGATTTTCATGGTTTGATCACTGCAAAGGAAGAACAAAAGCTTTTTTTGCTTCGCACAGTGTAGCAAAAATCAGGCCAATATTCAGGAGCATGGAAATATGTCCAGAATGTAAAAAAGGGTCCCTCAAAAGTAAAATATATTGTCTGATCTGTAATGTTATCTTCTTTTTATAAATATTTTATAAAAATTAAATATTTTAATTGATTTAGCTACTTAATAAAAGGGGTAAAAACAGAATTTTTCAAAATCTTCAGAGCTCGGTCGGCACGGGTTAATGTTGACGTAGGAAGATGAAATGTATGTCTGAGTGTACGAAAAGAAATCTAAAAAAAATTTTTTTTCGCCCATATAAGGGACACCCTAAATTGTAGGTACATAGAGTTTTCCTATGTTTGTTTTAGATCGACTTCAAATTCGTTACGATATACACTTTTTGTTACTGATACCAAGTCGTCATATGATGGCATGTAGAAGAAACTGGATACAAAATGTGTCTACGTTTGAGCTGAAATTGGCTGATATGTGGCTTTTGTACCACACCAAATACAAAAGTAAGTACGTCTCTTAGCTATTCGTGCGCAGCATAATAATAAAAATATTATTGAAATAACAAAAAACCAACTGCGTAAAAATGTACAGAAAAGATAAAAACAAGGCAACTTAGTGTTCACACATGCAGCTGGATTGGAGACATTAATAAGTAATTCATTTGATAGTGATATAATAATTGAAAAACATAGCCCTTCTGGCGCAGTCGGGTAAAAAATGTGCTATTATCAGTGGCTAAATTACTTAATCATTTACCAATTTTTACCTTTGTCTTTCTCAGTTGGTAAAGATAATTGTTTTTCCATCCGAGTGGAAAACCCCTTTGAAAGATTTAGCTTTGAAATCGGGAAAATCTATTGTAAAGAGTTTACTATATTTT